CCGGGATAATTATTAAATGATTTTTTAGGAAGTTCTCGGGAACCCTCCAATGAAAAGCGGTTTCCCTGGGGCTTGTAAAGCAGCCGCCGTTAGCTAATATACTAACGAGACATTCCTTGGCAGAGCCGCAGTTCCCTGTACCAGTCTGCTGTCAGGAACTGCCAATGGGAGGCTGATAAGCCCACGGCGCGCTAAGGTTATTCTTCAAACGCTGGTGGCAGCTCCAGCAAAACACGGCCAGCCAGGCACAAAGAGAGATCGATGGGCCCTCGGTTACCCACACATCCTGCCCTCCTTCTAAGCCTCTCCTGCCTCCCCGCACATTTCCTCCTCCCTCTCAGCCTGTCGTCTGTGCGCCTCACCCCAGCCCAGAAGGGAATGAGCCCTTTCCTGCAGCACGGCCAGCCAATGCCCATTCCCTGCTCCCTGCACTGCCTGTCACCACGCACTGGCGCCAGCCTGGCAGCGTTACTGCTCACACTGGGTAGCGCCCAGAGGCCCTATCAGGGCCCCCTTGTCCTAGGTGCTTGTACACACGCCGTGTGAACGAGAGTCCCTGCCCTGAAGAGCTCACTGTCTAAATGGAGAGGGCAGAGGAAGGTGGGGGATGGGACGAGAGAGTGACCCAGCCAAGCTCTCAGGGGAAACCCATGGCGGAGCCAGGAACTGAACCCAGATCTCCTGAGCTCCCATCCAGAGTGTCAGTGGCAAGGCCAACCTCCTTCTCAAGGACACGGACGGATCTTTACAAGGCAGAAGCTTCCTGATGGGTCCCTCCCTTCATCTTGCCACCACCAGCCTCTGTTCCCTGAATCTGCCCACCGCTAAGACAAGCGTAGTCCCAGGGGGAGATTTCAGGGAACGCAGGTTGGTGCGGACACAGCCCACTGTGCGGGGGAAGAGGGAAATTCCTCACCCACAAAGGGGAAGGGGACAGAGCCTCACATATTTTGCCTGGCAGCCTTCGACTGGGCTGAGGGCTGGAACGTCAGCAGTGCAGGAGGCCTCCTGCCATGTCAGATCTGCCTCGGCCGGCAGCAGCCCCGGCAGCCCCTCACCTTGCTGTTTTTGTCTCACGTTGTGCTCCCCGTGCCCTTTCTCCACATCCGGCAGCACCTTTGCCCCTTTCTCGTGGGATACGCTGGGTGAGCTCGCTGGGCTTACTGCTTCAACGCCATCAGGGCTGTAGCCTCCGTGGAACCCTGGGGAAATGGAAGCAAGGGCGTTTATATTGTGAGTTTCCTTCGCTGTGATTAACCCTACGTGTCCTGCGACCGCTGCTGCACTGAGATCTTCAGCATCAGCAAAGAAGTGACAGAAATAACCAGAGATCTTACATCTAAAGCTGCAGGACATATCCGCCTCGCTGCAGCTTCTACAGCCTTAGTATGCCAGGGGGCATTAAGGGCGACTGTAGCTTGGGCATGCATACTCTGCTAGGTTTAATCTAGCTACCATGGGTAATAAAAGCAATGAAGTTGCAGTGGCATGGACCCCAGTACAGGCTGGCTGCCCAAGAACATCCCCAGGGTCCCCAGCAGGTTTATATTTGGGTGGCTAGCCCACGCTGAAGCCCGTATCACTGCATCTATGCTCCTGTTACCTGTGCTAGACAGATTAAAGCTAGAGTGGGGGTGTCTACCCGTGCTATCATGACACCTTCACGGGCAGTCTAGATATAGCCCCAGGTGCCTCGAACAGTACCAGTATCATCAGAACCACCAGCTGACAATCAGCAAGGAAACACACAGAGAGACACACAGACAGCCACATTTGCTGCTTTTCAATTACAATGAAAAAAACAACATCACATTTTCCTGCAGAGCTGGAAACCCAAACACAACAGCTCAAGGCAGTGAACCTGACCGGCCTGGATTCACACCTCCCACACCAGGCAAACGCAAACAAACAACAGATAAAAGCCACATACACAGTGAAAAGTAAATGATTGTTGTGTGGTTGGGTTTTACCTATTCTAGGTGGCATTTTCCCTGGTAGATCTCAAAGGAAAGCCTGTATCACACCACTGCCAACCTCAACTGGTCAAAAATTGTGAGACAGGCCACCCCAAAACTGTGAGATTGAAGCCACAAGATTAAACAAAAATACTAACAACAACAGTTGGGTTTTAATTATTTTCCTTCGGGTTTCTGAGCCTTTGAGGTGCACGCAGGTCACATTTTCAAGCTTTTATCTGCTACTATGGGGTGAGAAACTCACTTTTTTTTTTTAAATGAAAGTTGAGATTCTCCAGGAGCTGGAGTGTAAAATGAAACATGATAAAACCCTGAGAGCTGGCAACACTGCATCGTCATTATCCCTGTCTTACAGGCATGGGGATAGAGACGCGGAAAGGTGGCGTGACTTCCACAAGATCACAGGACAGATCGAGAGCAGAGCCAGGAAGAGGACTAAGGTGTCCTGAGTCCCAACCTTGCGCCCTGCCCTCTGGAAACACTGCCTCTCTGGCTAAGGAATTTCACGCACTTCTTGATATGACTTTAACTTCCTAAAGCCGAGTTCCCAGGAGTTATCAATGGAGACAAATCACACTGTTCCCTCCTGGCTCTGCGAGACCCAGGTGTATTCCACCAAGGGCTTCCTTGTCACCAGCGCATACTCTCTGGGAGCCAGTCACAGCTGGTTACCTACGCTGAACCCATGCCCAGACCAGCCTGCTCGCCCCATCCCGGCCCAGGTAGGGACCATGCCAAGCTGGGCTCACTCACTGAACCCAGCGGATATCAATGGACTCATGTGAAGTCACTGGAAGAGAGGTGGGATGAGTGGGAAATGTGCCATTCCCACACACGTACATGCCTTGTATTAAAGGGTCGTTCTGCTCACTCCCTGCTTGACTGGGTCATCTCATGCGGATTCATTGCTTCTAGTGCTATTGCTTCTTAGCGCGAGTTCCCCACTCCCTCCAGTCATGTTCTAGTGAGTCTTGGCTGAAGAGCCAAACCCTAGTACCACTGGGGCTCCACCCCACTCAAAGGCTTGTCTCTATTGACAGGACATTGCTGGTGCTGATATCCCTGATCAAGGCTGGCTGGTCATACTCTGATCTGACTGATGGCTGGAGCCGGGGGTGGGAAGCAGACCAGCTTGCTCTGCCAGCCCTGGGGCAGTCGGAGTGTGTGTAATATTGTGAACCCCAGAAATCAGAGTAGCTTGGAGCTGTTTGTGTTTATGCGCGTCTGGAGGAGGAAGAGAAGTAGATGTACGAATGGCCAGGCACAGATCAGAGAGCTTAGGTGGGTGGGAATCAATAGAAAAGACTTAACAAGCTAATATACAGCTAATTCTTGATACTGCGTCCCGAGCTCTGGCCTATGGGTCATTGGAACACAGCCCCTCTCTAGTCTGGGACGATCAAACACAGCAGCACAACATAGCCTTGGCTCCAAATAAAAACTCTTTTACAGTAGCACCCCTTGCTGAGATCTCGAGGCTGGGACACCTCATCCTTCCTATTGACCGAGCAGGATTTCTAGCCACTGTAAGGTGGAGCGTTGCAACTCCCAGCTCTCTGGATGGGCTCAGAGGAAATCCTGCTGCTGCATAACTTCCCGATGATCTGCTTGTTCGGATGTATTTGCAGAAACGCTTTAATGTGTTTTACTAGTGTCAGGAAAAAATGCACCACTAAAGCCAAAGGTGAGTGTGTGTTCATAGCTAGCAGAGCATTCTCGGCAGCTGGCTGGAAGAGCCCAATGATAAGTGTCACTGCTTATTAGTAAGATCTTGAAGAGCAAAGAGGGGAAGATTCAGAGAATAGAGTCAGAAAAAAATTCTCCTCTCCAATTATCCCCGTGGATTGTCTGGTGCACACTGTGCACTAAGGTTTACACGCATGGGAGTGCAACGCTGGGACCCAGGGCAGACGTGCAGGAGAGATTCACAGAGAGAACACTGTGACATGCTTAGAGGACCCCTGTGCGCTAAGCATTACATGGTGCTTGCTATTAACTAAATATCTAAATGGAACCCAGGGGTCTGCTCTGGACCAAAGTGAAGCTGTCCCCGTAAGTGTCCCTATAGAGATGGGCATGAATGTAGAGCCACCCTCCTCCCCACCCCCCAACAGCAGTTTCACCCAGATAAACATATTCTACTTCATTTTGTGCCTTAAGCGGTTGTGCTGGGTTAAGCAGCTGCTGTGTTTCACTCCAGAAGTGGCTGCATTCCAATGGCTGCTACACGATCCCCGTGTACAGTATACCATCTATATTTATGTCTTATATAGTGTCTGTCACCATGGCATCTAAGCACTGATATATCATTTGATAGACAAATTGATACATTGCTTTGGGATCTATCAAATTGAAAGGCATTGTGCAAACGTGGGACATTGTTCTTGTCTGATGTGGCTGTCCTGTTAGAATCAGACATTCCCTCCCCCTCCCCACAGACCCCTTGCTGTTTAAGTCATTACCCATGATTCTTTAACGTAGGCCACATGTGAATTGCTAATTACAGTGAAATCAAGAATTTAAAATAAATAAATACCAGGAAATGAACTAGAGCTGCAAAGCAAGAATCGGCAAAGGAAAATTAAAAAAAAAAAGGGGTGGGGTGGGGTGGGGTGGAGGAAGGATTTTTAAAACAAACAACAAAAATAAAAGACTAGAATAATATAAATGATTCCAAAAAATTCAGGAAGTGGAAGAAGCCAACCACCAAAACGTGCAATTCAAAAAATAAAATAAAATAAACAAATTGGTTTTAGGCCACAAACTTGGACTGGCACCCGCCCCTCCAATTTCTTACCATCACTAGTGGAGTCGTTATTTAGCGAGCGTCTTTCTCGCTTCCCCTTATCGCAAGAAATTTGACGCATGATAATCACATCTATGAAGCTGGCCGCTGTCATGGTGGTCTTACCGAGTGCTCGGAGCTCCTGTTCCTGCATTGAAAAGGATTTACTTTGATTCTTTTCTCTACTGTGCTGCTCATTGACCGAGACTGCGTGCTGCTGGTCCAGGGGTGGATGATGGTGCTGGTTTTTCCCCTGTCCTCTGCTATACTGCTGGGTAGAACCTGGCCCGGAGGCTGGTAAGGGCCTGGACTCCATGGCTTTAATAGGTGATGATGACTGTTCTAGGCCTGCCCCACTGGGCAGCTTTGAGGTGAACATGTTGTTGTCAGTCTGAGGGCGTTCTACCTTGGCTTCTCGGGCCCTGGACACCTCTTTCTGTAGGAGAGCAGGGTCCATCATGGCTGCATAGCTGTCCACTCCACCGAGGGAGCAGCGCAGGGCGGATGCCGTGGGAAAGCCTGCAGAGCGGATGGGCGATGTGGTGGTGGTGGTGGTGGAGGATCTTGAAAGCAAAAAAGAACACAGAGATAATATGACCGTGGAGCTGAGAGACACTGCAGCTTCCCCACTCCCACAGGAACTAGGCTGTTTGCTCCTGTCAAATCCAGTAACTCTACAGAGGTATTAGCTACAGTATATGTTACTCGGAGGTTAATGGATCCAATGCCAAACTATGCGAAACAGACACAGGAGAAGGTCACAATGCGTCTTCCTTGGAAAACTAAACGAACGGGGCCTGACTCTGGTCCTATTTACACCAGTTTGGACTTCAGCAGAGTTACTCCTCATCTGCACCGACGGAAGTGAGCGGAGAACCCTGCCCATGTTTCATTTAACCAGTGTGTTTGATTCCCCATTTATAACTTAGGCATGAGACTGCACTGGGGTAAGAAAGGCCCAGGCAGAGTGTGGCAGAATACCAGAGAGCAAGAGGAATCAGATCATTTCTGGCTTCCTGCTGAAGTTGGGACAAAGAGCAAGCTGGAAACCCCACCAGTGACATATGTATTTCCACAGCTTGTTTGCTGCAAAAGGGGCTGGCCAATTGGAGTGACCAAAATAATGGGCTAAATTCTGGAGCCCTTACTTCAAGAGGCTGAAGAAAGCTTCTCACTGAGGCAAGGGCTGGAGCACGGGCTGAGTAAGAACATCTGGATTTGGCCCAGAGCGGACAGCCCACGACCATCCCCCCGTTTGCTGCCTGGGAGCAGCTCCCAGCAAAAGCCATTTGAAAAGGAAAAGACCCTGGTCAAAATCAGCCAGCCCACCACAGGCCTGCTGCTAAGGCCTGCTCCCATTGAAATCAATGACCAAAAAACGCCTGTGGCCATCAATGGCGCAGGATTAGATCCTTAACAACCCAGAGCCCTCCACCCACCGAGGGCAGGAGCGCGGCGAGCCGCAAAGCCCATACACACCGCAGAACCGATGGGGTGAGGCTCTCCGACGAGGTGACCTTCATGCCCGTGTTGTGCAGCACGCTGGGGCGCTGCTGGACGGTCTCGTGGGTGCGGGGCGAGGCGGGAGAGTGCTGGTGGCTGTGAGAGTGAGTGGCTGAACGGCTGCTGCTTTGCTCGGTCCCTGTAAGAAAACGCAGCGAAGAATCTGAGCGCTGGAAACCAAGGGGCAAGTGACAGCGAGATGGGGAGGAAGAGAGAGCTCTGCATAAACCTTACAGAACTGTCCCCAGCCCCTCCCCCAAAAGGCTCTGCTCACCAGTGGAACCATTGCTATCCACAAGCTGTATGGACCGGGTTCCTCCAAGCCTACCTGGTCTCCAGATGGGCGCATGCTCCACAGTGGTGGCTGCTAGGAAGGATTTCTCGCGCTCCCTCTCGCGCTCCCGATCTCGTTCGGACGCCGATGCTCCTGTCTGTTTGGTCATGTGCGTGGGGCCTCCTGGAATTCAAAGGCAGCCAGTGACGGGGGCCCTGCGAGCGGAATTCTGGTGCAACCTCCACTCTCGCGAGTGTTGCAGCTACAGGATCTCCGCACGAGCTTCCTAAACCAGATCCTTGCAGATCAGCAAAGACCGGGGCCTGATACCACTTACACCGGGGTAACGCCGGGGCAACCATC